GAGGCATACATTTTTAACTAGTTAAGCTAAATTATTGTTTTGCTTAAGAAGAGCTCAGGCGATATTTTCAGTTTAAGGGTTAAGGATTATCTAAGGGCGATAGTTTCAGGTTTTCATCCAATCTCATGACTTCGGAGAATCTGGAGTCCTTAACATGTGAAATTGTGTTCTGCGGTTTCCCCCTGTGATCAGGATTCTTCTATAAAACAAAACAAAACAAAACAAAACCATCCCATGTTTCTGGTCTCAAGCCACAGGCAGCAGTTGCTCATTGAGACAAGGAGCGGAACGTTCTAGGTGCTTCCTCCTCCAGTTCCTGACAGTCCACCCTTCCCTTGTTGCCCCAGACTAATAAGAGACCAACTGTGTCTCGGATGGTCACTTAGATGTTTTGAAGACCTTAAGCCCGTGCAGCATCCTAGGGCGCAGACTAGAAACACTGAACATATCGTTAGGCCAATTAATTGGGGGATGTCCCATGAAACCATGATCCCAAACTTCTAAAACAAGGGACCAAATCCCCTGAGGTGCTTGCTTGTACTCATTCAGAAGTAGCCTCGGCAACTGCACTTTTTTTCTGTCACTGTAAATATATCTACCACATACATGTGGCCAGTTCAGCTTTTTATAATTGTACAATTTATTGACAGCGATTACAGTAATCAGCTGTGCCACCGCCCTCCCCTTTGCTTAGTGATTTTGATCCATTCATCAGAGCCTTCTGGTGCTACCTAAGTCTAAGACTTGGGCAATTTGTCATTCAGGAAATTTGTCATTTGGGGAAAGAAACATAAACTTACCAAGTTGTAGCTTTGTTATTTATAAATTGGAAACAAACATGGCTACCTTAGCAACCTGTAGGATTTTTGATGGTTATGGAAATGGTGGCCGTGGGAGGGTCTAGCATAGTAAATGAGAAGGTCTTGTTTGTGTTTATCGTGTTCATCCATTTGTGAGAACTACTTTGTTCTCCATCTAGTAACACAATAATTATACTGTCACTCCCCCCCACCCCCTCCCCAGACCCTTGGATTTGCTCTCATTGCCAAGGTTCTTCTTGTTACTGGGTGTCCGTGGTTGACTCGGGCAGATCTGACAATTCCCATGGGCTCATATCGCTTAGGTAGTGGAATACGTATGAATATCTGTCATAGCTTGTCTGTCACTTGTTCTATGCTTTGAGTACAGCTGAGTTTTTCTTCTTTTTCTTTAGCATGCATGTATACAATTGGGGAAAATTGACATTACACAATACTTTGACTTCCAAATCAATAGGGTACATCCATCCCAGTATTGCTTTTTCCGCGCCTCCTGTTAAGAGATTGTGCATCTTCCATTTATTTACTTCTAGGGATTATTTTTAGATGTTGTGATAATGGCATCATTCTTGAAGCTAGGTTTATTGAGCTATAACGTGCATATGGTAAAAGTCACCCTTTTTTAGTATGAAATTCTATGGGCATGGACCAATATGACAGTCATTACCACAAACAAAATATAGAATTACTCAATCCCTCTCCAAAATTCTCTCATGCCACTTTGCAGTAAGTACCTCTCCTCCTACCACCAACTTAATCCTGGCAACTATTAATCTCATTTTTGATCC